TTTCTGGCACATCCTCCCAGTTCCTGGCAGCTTTTAGTGATTTAGAAACTTCCTGGTGGCACTGGTCAGGCCTCCAGAAAGGATGTAAGTCTGTACGGCTGGAGTCAGTCCCTGGGCTTCTTCCAGACAGGCTTGTGAGTCACAAGTAAAAAGAGGTACTTTCTTGTGTATACAAAAAATAACTTATCTTAGAGAACATAGTACAAGAAATATTATAAATAAAAAATAAGAGTTCTGTTCTGTGCGTGCAAGGACTGTGAGTATTTGGTTCACTTCTTTGGTCTCCTTAGAAACATACAGGGAGGCAAATTATTCCAGCCCTGACATGGTCATTTTTCATGGGTGCATTTCATATTTCTCACAGCTTCTCTACTGTGCTTTTAGAATAAATGTACTTGCAAGTATCTATGTTGAGTATACATCCAAATTTGGTCTAGCATTAATGTTCTAAGAAAAATGAAATCTTTTTACTCTTTCTGACACAGCTCATCAGCCAGTGTTCAAGCCCTTGTAGGTTGCTCTCTACAAGGAGTAGTTATTTAGTAGTTTTAAACGTTGTCTGCATCTGCCTGTTTCTCAGAATACCAGAGAAATTTGGCAGCAGGAGCTGGGTTCTGGTCTGTCTTGGCTGGGGATCTGTGTGCTCCCTCCATTTCAGTCTCCTGACTGTCTTCCAGGTTTGAGTTACCAGCATTATCCTGACCCCTTGGATTCCCTGGTTCTTTCTGCCCATCCCTAGAATGTTGCTGGGCTGCATTTATCCTGCTCCCCCTCTCCCTCAGTTCCTTTCTGCCAATATTGTGGCTTCTACTTCTGAGTTTCTGTTCCAGCCAGTCCCTCCTGTGCCCAAAGGAGCCTCATGCTCCTCACCCTTCCCTAACCAAGGACCTTCCCACCCTCAGGGAGGCTTCCTTCAGCCTGCCGACGTGACAACGGGACTGTCTCGAGCTGAGGTAATGCAGGGAGTGTCCCACAGGCTTCACGTAGGGATGGACCAAGCCTCTAAACAGCATTGTTCTGGAAATGAGATGAATTGGAGAAAGGAAACTGGATCCCAGTGAGAGCTGGGCTGCTCCAAGAGGGGCCCCCCAGCAGAAGGTTGGACTCTGCAACCCCAGAGGTCCCTCCAGCCACCTGCTCTGTGAGTGCTACCTGGCTGGAGCACGGTGAGAATTTCATCAGGCTGGATAGAATTAAAAACATTTTCCTCTGTGACTCTTCTGCAGGTAGCTGCCCAGTGCTGGCCCAGGCGTGAGGCTGCCTGCAGCCCCAGCAGTGGGGACAGCCCCTGCAGCCCCCAGCCCTGCTGCTGCTGCACGGGGCTCCTCCTCAGCACCCACTACTGCTGTGAGTCACAGCTTCTCGTGTGCAAACCAGACTGCCTGCCAGTTGTTCTCCAAAGCCTGGTTAAATGAAGGGAAAATGGAACTATTTTCTGGGAACTGCCCTCTATTTTCTGTCTGCTGCAGTGATGTGGCCACTCACAAATCACCTGTCTGCAAGCCTCAGGAGGTCTGTGCTGTCTTGCTGACCTTGGAAGCAGATGGACTTTGCAGTCCTGCATTTGTTCTTAGGTAGGCACAGTCATTGTAGACCAGGGACTTAGTGATACAGAACAGGGTGATACCCTGCCTGGCTCTGACCCGACCAGAGCTGAGCTCTTGGGTTCCCGTTGGCCAGCAGCTGGTGGCCTCAGTGGTGACACCTATTTCAGCTGGGCACAGTAACCTCTCCAGAAAGTCTGAGCTGCTGGCAAATAATCTTCCTTTTCTTATGTGTGTGTAAAACCCTGAGCTTTTCTTTAGATGAGACCACAATTTTCAGAAAGTATCTTTTTGAGGGTTTGGGGTTTTTTTGTAGGTTTTGCAGAAAAAGTAGAAAATAAGAGTTCTGCCATGTGCTTCTGAACTGATATCACTGAATCTGTTCTGAATTAGCCACAGAATTGATGGTTTCCAGAGTGGCTGCTCACCCAGTGTGAATAGAGTTCACAGTGCCTTCTTTTTTGTTTGTTTCCCACTGAAACCTTTTCCAGTTGTTGCTGTTGACAAGGCAGGAGCTGGAGCCTGGGATCAGCTGGTGCTGCTGGCCAGCCAGCTGGAGGGGATGCAGCCTGGGTGGCTGAACTCCTGACACCCACCTCTGGGCAGGCCCTGTGCTCAGTGTGCTGCTGGCACTGAGGTCTGCTGCAGGGGGGGTCTGCCCAAATAAGAGAAAAGAGTCACAAACGTTGGTTCTTGGTGCCTGTTCTGTGCTCGGCCCCTCAGCCTGTGTCCTTGTCCAACAGTGTCACTGCGGGGAGGACACGGTGCTGCCCAAAGCCAGAGGTGTGGGGCAGGCAGCTCTGCCCCATCCACCCTTTGTCCCTGTTTGGAGGCAGAGCTGATCTCATCTGCTGCCTGAAAGGTCCCTGCTGACTGCTCCTGACAATGGTGAGATCCCTTGGGAGTCACAAAGATAAGGAGAACTAAACTTGAGCAATGTTGAGATGGATTTGGGCTGAATTGTCTTTAGAATGTGATACTTCTGAAAGCTTTAAAAGGAGTATCAGTGTTACAGAGCATGAATGCTTTTGGTTTGCATATTTTGCAATAAGCTCTATTTTCATTACTGAGAACAATTTTGCATAAGCATTTTAACGTGTTTTTCTTTATTCAGCAGATTTGCAGTGTAAGTTTCCACTTGTGTTACTGTTCTCCTTATTAGTTTCCTCACGTGTACCATGTTTTTCAAACCTGATTGGAATCTGTATGACGTGGGTGTGGTGTCTGATCCCTCAGCCTTTCTGCTTACCAGCACCCACTGACTTTGGTGGGAACTCTCTCTCCAGAAGACTCACAGAAAGCAGCCATATAATTGAATCCATCTACTCCCTCATGGAAAGCCCCTGTCCAGTGCTCAGTCATTAGGAAAATTTCTCAAAAGGAATGGAGTGAAAGCAGAAACACAGCTGAAAGGGACCACCCAAAGTACTAGAACCAGAACAAGTGTTGTCCTCTTCCTTTATTCCAGAACTTGTGTCCATACTCTCACATCTAGGAAGAGGGGGGAAAAAAGACCACAGTTAATAATTGCCAGAGATCAGCTAGAATAATAATTAAAGAAAAAAAACAAAGAGCTTCAAAAAGGATGCTGTGGAAAGCCAGGCTGCAGTGGTGTCCCCATGGGAAGGAAGGCAGAGGGTTCTCCTCTTGTGCTGCTGATCTGCCACAGTTTGGTCTTAATCTGCTGGAACAAAGAGGTCCCGTGGCAGCAGATCTTGCTGTTGTCAGAGTGGGATTGTTCCCACATGTTCTGTCTCCCATCTGCTTGCCGTGTGAAGCCAGAGTTTCCCCTTTCCCTGCAGGGCTTTGGAGCTGTTTGCCCCATGAGGCAACATCAGGGTGAATGGCAGGAAATTAAAGTGGAATGATTTAGCTCTGACTGAGCGTGTGGAGCTGAGCACAAGGGGGGGATGCCCAGCTGAAGGAACTAAAGTGAACAAAAGTTACTGCAGGTGGTCTAATCCATCCTGGTGTACTTGGCCAGGTCTTCCCCTTGGTTGGGAAGGAGAAGGTGGCAGCTTGGGCCCGTGTCTGCCCCTTGTGCAGCTTTTTGGCACGGATGGCAGGGCTGGGGTGACTCGGCGGCTTTGGTTGCCATGGGAGTGTGTCAGGGAGGGTTCAGAACTGCTGAGGGGAGGTTCTGGCAACAGCACTGCCACACAAACACAGTTTTTAAGTGGTGGTTAAGTCATCAGTGATTTATCTCCATGGGTTGTGCTCACCACCAGGCGTGGATGCACAGTGGCTTTTTTTCTAAGGGAAAACGTGCCTGGCTTTCCAGGCAACACAGGGAGAGGGGACAGAAGGGTTATAAACCACTGGTTCCCAGTGGTTTTGATGAGCAGTTAAGCCACCCGTTCCACTTCTTGTGTTGTGCACAGTCTTCAAAGTGTGGGCACTGTTGGCAGTAACTGTGGAAGAGCTTCAGACCAGTTCCCACCACTTGGAGGAGCATGGTCAGACCAAAGTGCCCAAGGACATGGTGTCACAGGGAGAATGGCAGGGAGAGAGGGCTCAGTCAGGCTGCCAGCTGCTCAGCAAAGATTATTCCAGCTGTACTCAGCATCCAGTGCATCAGAACAGGGGTGCAGCCATGAAGATCTGGGAATTTCTCCTAATCCAGGTAGGAAAAGAGAAGGTACCAGTCTCATCTCTTTTTTTTCCCCTCCAGGAGGCAGGGTCAGCAGTCTGCAGTCCTTTCTTACTGCTGGGCTTAGTCCTTGGTCACAGCCAGCTCAGCAGGGAATACTGAGCAACTGCAGAGTCTTTGCTCACTGTTTTCTTTGGGAGTTTTTATCCAAGAAGGGAAAAAAAGAAGAGATCATTAAACTGATCGTACAGATGAAAAGAACTGGGCTGTAATAGCAGGGAAGAGGAGCAATGGCTGATTGAAGCTGGTGGGTGGTGTGTTCTGAAGGGTCACATTTAGCCAAAAGAGGCTGAACCAAAGACAGGGGACCCTTGTGCTGTCTGCTGTGAAGAGCATTGGCAGGTTATTTTCCCCTCTGCCTTCCTGCACACGTTGCTCTCAGCATTACGTGCAAATCATATGATTTAAAGCATTTCATAGTTATGTTTAGCTGGATTTGATGTTTCCTGGTAGGATTTCCTGTTGTGGTGCGACAGCATTCCAACCTTTTCAAGAAAAGCCATTTGTCATGGTTAAGAAAACAGAAGCAATGGGTTGACAGGGCTTGTGAGCAGTGGGAACTCAAGTCAAGGATTCCAAGCAGCAAAACTGCTTTCCATAGGTGGATGCTTTGTGTGGCCCCAGGATGTGCTGTGCTGCACAGCTTTGCCTGGTGGGGATGAGGAGCTACAGGTCTGAGATGATCAAGCACAGTATAGATAAGCATTAATTATTCTAGTATAAACACAGACACAAACCCCATGGTCCTGTGCTCAGGTTTAAACCCATGTTTTGTGCTCAGATTTAAACCCTTGTTTTGTTCTCAGATTTAACAAATCAAGTTGAGACAATTGGACTGAAGCTGCAGAAGGTAACAGCTGAGATGGACCACTACAAGAAGCTGCTAATGTAAGATTTCTGTTTGCTTGGTTGTGTTGCTGCTGTACATAAAGCTGTGCCCACACCTCTGGTGTTGGCTGGGTGACTGGAGCAGGTTATGACCAACAGAGAAGATACTTTATCCTCAGGTTAAATGGGCTGTGTTGGTGACCAGCTGGCTGAACATGGCTGGCTGTGGGGTCTGGGTTGGGACTAATGGGCAAGGAGCAGGGTCAGATCAGCTCAATCCAACACTAATGCCTCAGGTGGAGCTGTATTGGACACCCAAAATTGGGCCAGGCAACCTCCAGGGTCCCATCCAGTGCTCACTGGGGCCTGAGAACAGCACCAACGTGTCATTCACCACTGAAAACAAAAATTACTCCTTCAAATACGAAGCTCAAGAGTCACAAACTAGAGCTGCTAGTCTCGAGACCACCTCTCATCCACCTTTTTGTGTGTTTTCCTGAAATTTAAACAAGGATCCATTCTGGGACCATGTGTGCTTTCTGATTTCGGTTCCTTTGTTCAAAAGGCCTGATCATAAGGAAGTTGCAAATATTTGGAATGCTTAGCAACAAAGTATTTTGATGATAATGTAAGTATTCAGTTAAAAAAAATTAAAAAAAATATTTCAGGGACACAGTTAAATAAACAGTAAAGGGTTTCCAAATGTAATATTACCATTTCAAAGTCATATGGGTACAATTTAATAAAACAACATATCCTATATCTGTTAAAACATAAATATGAAGCTTAACCATGGTTATTAATTGGTGAAATGTGACATAATGACAAGAAATGTACAAAGTTTCCAGCTCTCTTACCTCCTGAATTATTAGTTGTTAATTTTTAATCATATCTGTCTTTAAACTTTCATCAGTGTGGCAAGATCTCATTTTCTGTTCATTCAACTTGCTCTGATCCCTGGGTTAGGCTGAGATCAGGTTGGAAGGGTAACTGCCAATTACTTACAAATGTTAGCTAGAACTAACAGAACTCTGTTGTCTGCCCTTGAACTAAAGTGGAAAATGCAAGTTCAATAATGTGTCAATAAACCTGATGTTCAGGTTCCAGCAGGAGTGAAGGCTGCTGGGTTTTTGGACATGGATTTAATGTTCTCTTAGGGTGAAATCGGCGGAACTTGACGTCTGTCAAAATGAGCTGAAAAAAATGAAGTATGACAATGGAATTTCTGAGTCAAGGTAGGTGTTGAAGTTCTATGTCACAACACAACATGAAGATTTCTGAGGACAACATTTATTTATTTTTTAATGCACCTTTTATACGAGATTTTTTTCCCTGGTTTTAGTTTCTATTTGTATGTTCAAGTCACTAGATTTAACTTCATAAAGAATCCGTGACTTTTGGTCTGATAATTTTATTTTGCCTAATATTTTATTTTATTATCCAATATTTTATTTTGTCTCATATTTCATTTTATTTTTATTTAATTTTTAAAATTTCTGTCTATTTAGTGTCCATCTGTGACTAAGAAGATAGTCACTAGGATGCTGATGCTGTTTTATTTCACCCACAGGCTTACGAAAGAGCTGAAGGAAAAGGAGGAATCTCTTCAGATTTGCCAACAAGTCTGCAAACATTTACAGGAAGAAGTGGCTGAGAAAGAAAGGAAAGAAGAAGATCTGAAAAGAAGAATGGGGCGATCAGAAAGTGAACTGGAAGCCCTTAAAGCTGTTCTCCAGCAGACTGAGGAGGAGGTGGTGGTGCTGAAGCAAGAAAGGTAACAGAGCTGCAAAGCCCGGCCAGGCTGGGGTTTCATCTTTGAATATTCCCTGTGCTTTAGGAGCTGCATAAAAGGATGATTACATGTTAATTTAAGACTATCTCCCTTCTACTTAAACCCCAGATACCTCAGTTGTTCCAGTTGCTACGTGGCTCCTCATCTAAGTTAAAAGCATTTAAAAACTCTCCAGGGCTTTTGCTCTACAAGCCTGACACAACAAACAGGAGCTCTAACTCTCAGTGGTTTTAATTCAAAACCTATTCCAGTTTTTTAATTAATTACAATAATACCCTGAGCTCATGAAAAACAGCAATTTCTGGTTTGAATATTATAATAGTTACATGGTGTTCTTCAAAATTGAACTTGGGAAATACTGAAAATATCACAGGTTTAAATATGTTTGTGTGGAAGGAAGGTGAACTATAGTATTTTCTTTAAGAACACAGTGGTGCTGGCAGCATGGAGGGGCTGGTAGTGACACTGCTGGGCCTCCAGGCAGCACAGGCTGCTGCACACAGAGGAAAAGACCAGCCTTTGCCACCAAGGGCTTAGTTGCAGGGAAATGGCAGAGCACCATTCTGGGCAGGGCACGTGTTTACATACCAGTTTTTGTGGTTTCTAGGGAGTTAATGCTGATTTCTCATCAGAACAGAACGGAGCAGCTGCAGGAAACCTTAAGGCAGAAGATGCGGGATGAAGATAGCTGGAGGGAGAAGGTAAGGCTGGATCTGCACCTGGCTCCTTGCCATTCCTCCCTTATGGTCTTTGTTTTCCACTTGCAGTCAGCTGCACCAGGGCGGGCAGGAAGCCTGACACCCGGCTCCTCAAGTGCAGACATGCCAGCAGGGTGTGCTTTGTGCAAGAGCTTTGGGTTGGGACCCAAGGCAAAGTGTTGAGTACTGAGTGTTCACAGACCAGACAGATGCTTAGGTCTGCTCTGGACTTCCCAGGTTTTGGGGTGTTTGCTGAGTGCCCGTTGGGATGGTGCTCCCCTGGAAGGCCAGGATTGAGGAGCAGGACTGAGCCCTCTGGCCCTCTCTCCTGCCTGGAGGGGGTGCAGCAGGAAAAGCCCCATCTCGAGGACTCTTGTCCTACACAAGCTCCAAGGAGGGGAACATGCAGAAGAACTTCCCCATGAGGGTAGGAAGGCACTGGAACAGGTTGCCCAGGGAGGTTGTGGCTGCCCCCTCCCTGGAGGTGTTCAAGGGCAGGTTGGATATGGCTTGTGCAGCCTGGTCTGGTGGGAGGTGTCCCTGCTCTTAGCAGGGAGGTTGGAACCTGGTGATTTTTGAGGTCCCTTTCAACCTTCACCACTCTAAGGCCCTGTGCACAGCAGGTCTGGCTGTGGGCTCTGAGCCCCAATCATGCCTGGGGAGCACATCACTTCCAGGGGGAAGGGTTTCCCACCACCCTCTGCAGCTTTGGTTGGGATTGGTGCATTCCATGCAGTGAGGCTGTGGTTTGTTGGTTGTCCTTCAGTCTGTACCTGGGTTTGGGGTCCTCTGTGGAAAAACATTTTTATCTGTGAGCACAAAAACCTTCTGCTAATCTGCAACTTTGCCACATGAGCACAAGGAAAACCCCAAATTCGATATAAGAAGTTATTTTGTTGTTTGTTTTTTTGTTTTGTTTAAATCTGTGAAGGAAAAATTGCAAATAACTCTGGCTTTTCTGGTTTAAGCCTTACATAATTGGGGACTAAATTTACTTTTTTTTGGCTCAGCACCTGGTAAGTGTCTGAGAGCTTTATTTAGTCTCAGGAAAACATGTTTGAGTACAAGCAAGTAAGATGAGTTCTATTTCTTTTAAAACTCCTTCACCTCTGTGGGACAGGGTGTGATTTGGGCACGAGGTCCCACTCTGCATGATCACAGTGTGATGTTCAGCCTGGCAGCACCAGCAGGGGAAGGCTGGTACAGCAGAGAGCAGCTCCAGCTTTGGGACCACAGCCACCAGGCTGCACCCAACGGCAAGTTGGAGCCTCCTCATCAGGCAAAAGGATCAGAAACGTGACAAAGTGACCAAGTTTTCTGTTCCTTGGGCCACTGCTTCAGCATGAAGTGTCCCAGTTTTCTACTTAAAATATACAGAAACCTGAGGTTGTTTTAATGGAAAAAAAAAAGCTCTTCCAAAATTGTTAAGATTGATGTAAACATTTGTTTAATGGCTTTTTTAGCCTATTAATTAACGAGGGGCATGAAGGGGGTTTTGAAGCACTTAGTAGCTGTTGTGCTTTCTTTGAAGATAATTGCCATTTTGTTTCCTGTTCTGGTTATCAGCTTTATTAGTTTCAAGTATTAAATGTGAAAAATCTTGTTTGGTCTTCAAAAAGAGCTCAGTTTTTTTATACTGCCTTGATTTTTTTTTTTTTAGTGTTTGTAATCAAACAGCCTCCAACATATGATCTGCTTCTATAACACCTGGAGTTAACACCTTTGGGTTTCTGTTTTTGGAATCCTAACCCCCATATATAACAGTGCAGAATATTATTATTAATTTAATGAGGATGATTATGATGTTTATTATTATTCTACTTTGCAATCTTACAGATATACCAGTTGTAAGCTCTCCACCTCAGTGGGAGATGTTTTGCCCATTCCATGCTAAGAATTTTGATTTAAAAAATAACAACAGTATTTCCAGTTTCTCTTTTCCCCAGGAAGAGTTAGGGGCATTTGTTAACACTTTTCCTCCTATTTAGTGGATGAAATTAGATAAATGTAATTAAGCTCATTCTGGGCTTTTTCTGCTTATAGTAATTTTAAGTATTAAGGTGAGTGTTGAATGTGCCTTTTCTTTTCATGTGGTGCAATGAAGAGGACCAGACCCCAGCCTGCAGAGGTAGAACCTCAGCATCCTGCTGTAGGGAGAGCAGGGCTCCAGCCCTCAGCCTTGCCTCCTGAACCCAGGCTTTTCTTTCAAGGAAATGAGGGCTGAATTCTCAAATCTGAGTTTATCACATGAAATATGTGAGGTGCCTTAGGGACGGGGATATTTTACCCAGAATTTGCAACTCTTTAACTTAACATTTCTCCAGTTTTTAGTCCAGAATATTGTATGTGCTAAGTTGCTATTCACTGACAAGGCTGGGGGGCAGAGCATGATTAAAATTGGATTTTATCAGAGTTAACTTCTTTATATTTTAATCTTGAGCTTATGGCCTATTTTTAGCAGTGTCTGCTGTGAAATGTATCATTTTGCTGCAGTTGAAAATAACAAGAAGCTGAGTTTTACCTGCAGAACAAATGCTTCCAGCAAAATAACCCTCTATTTTAAGAACCAGCTAAGGATTTTGCCATTCAGATTTAGCACGAAGTTCTAGTACCTAAAGGCAGGCATCTAGGGCTTCCTGGGACACCATGGGGCTGGTGGGACATCCCTTGGGAATGGGGCAGGAGCCATCCCTTCTGCCTGGCAGGGTGGGACCTGAACAATATTATAAGATAAATTGCTATGAATCATTCAAACCCACTTTGTTCCCTAGATGGAAATTGACCTGGCTAAAGGTGAAGCACGACACAAAGAAGCGATTCTGAAAGTCAAGGAGGAGGCCAGAGTGGAACTAGACATGGAGAGACAAAAGCAGCAGGAACTAATCACCAAGTATCAGCGAGATCATGAAGAGCTCCAGAAGAAGGTGTGTTACACTCCAGGGAGAAGTGGTGTGACAGGAATGTAAACTATTCCAGTGTAAACTGTTGGAAGTGGTCTGGGAAGGAGTAAAACCTTTATGTGTAGGCCTGGATCTAGATGGTACAACATCTTTCCCAGTCTTAGTATATGGCATATCTGCTTGGTTTGGTTAGTTTTTCAAGTGCAACAGGCTAGAAACTAACAATTCTAGTTAAATGCAGTGAAAGTTCTTCCTTTCCTCACATTTTACCTGCCCAGAGTTCATCTGTGTCCATAGGCTGTAGTTGTCAATTTTTTTTAAGCTGAAATCATAATTTTTTTAAAAAGCTTTGGACTGTTTCAGACTGTGAAGGTTTGTCACAAAACCATCCACACTGTGGGGTTTTTAAATCAATTTAATTTTCTTGTATTAATCCAATTCATTCAGAATTAATTCAGTACCAGTGGGGTCAGGCCCAGTGCCCAGCTCAGTGTGTGCTGTTCTGTATTGGTGGTTGCATCACACACCATTGGCCATTCCCAGCCACCCAGACCCACAGGCTTGGAAGTTTTGTATAGAAATTGAAAATTGTGCCCAGGACCTTCGTTTCCAAATGATTTGACACGTTTCTTGAAAAATCTGGGAAGATCAAAGACATTTGGAGAAGTTATATTACTGCTTATAATTAAGTTACGTAAAATTTTAAAGAGCTGAAAATAAGAGTTGGCCTTTGCTCACTCTACAGATATTTGACTATGATTTTAAAAACCTTGGCTTGCAGTAAATAAGTCAAGTTTCCCCATTTTCACCTCTGTTTCTCTGTTTGACCTTGGACATGCTCATAAATCTCTCTCTTCTGAGTGAGTTTTGGTTAACTTACAGCTCTCTATTCTCCTTGGAGGGTATGATGTAAATTCCAAGCATGTTTTTTTGTCTCTGAGTGTGTGTTTACATTTATATTTCTAAAGTCAACATGTATCTGATACCTAATTCCCCATATCTGACAATATCCACTGCAATTTGTGTCTCACCTACTGCAGATACCAGGGTTAATATCCAGTGCCACCAACAGTCTAAGGATGGAGGCAGAAATGCTGGAAAAGAAGCTACAAGATGCTCAGCTGAAGCTTGCAGAGAAAGATGAAGAGAAGGAAAAAGAAATTCAGAACCTTAAAAGACTAATTACAGAGCTTGAATTTCAGCTGACAATGGAAAAGAACAATAATGAATCATTTCTGGATAATATGAGGAAAGAAATTAAACGCAAGTCAGATGAACTGGAAAAATTAACCCAGGAGAGGACACAGCTGATTCACAATTTGAGTCAAGTTCAAAAGGAGGTAGGAACATGAGCAAGGAAATGCCTTGCTATTTTTACTGAAGAGACATGTGATTTCTAAAATCATTCAAAGCATCTTTATTTCAGCATCTCTACGTTTAAAACCCAGTGAAGTGCAAAGCCTTATGAAACACCTTCATCGTAAGTTCTTAAATAGGGGGTATCACAAAATATGTGAGTTTTTAAAATTCAGCAAGCACTTAAACTAGTGTTTTAACTATGTATTTTCAGGCCTTGAAAGATATTTATTGCTTGGTCTCTGTCCTCACATCATGCTCCATAGATGTACACCAGTCATAGAGCATTTTTCATGTTTCTAAAGTAGAAGACCTGGACCTTTCTGATCCCTTGAGCAGGGCAGCAGCAATCTTGGAGCTAATTTGTAAAAAAACCCTTCCTACTATCCCTAGGAAGGAGTGTGGCCTCAGTCCTGTTGGAAATGGCTTCAGGAGCAGGGAATGTGGGAGTATGTGTGTGCATCCTACCCTGTGGCTCCCACCTCCCTTCAGCAAAGCCATTTCTGTAACTCA